TGCCCATCATTCGAGACTGCACAGCACACAACATCTTGCACAGAGTCGTGTTGAAACTATGACGGGTATGGCCAGAGGGTCTCCCAGGAGTTTCTTGACGTCTATGTGCACTCTTCGCGGATATCCATCACCAAAAACACCATTGGACACTTGTGTCAAGTTGCTAACATACCATAACTTACATACGGACGTATCGTACAGGATAAATTAGGGGGGCCATGTAGCCTGTACTTCCTGGATGTTTTTTTGGTTCACCGACCGGGGCCAACAGCAATTTGGCTTATCAGTTCAGCGCCATCATCGCTTCTTTGGCCGATATGGGAGAGAGAGGCAGACGGAGAGAGAGAGAGTCCCAGCAATTCGAGTTTGGGCGAATCATAGCAATCCACGTCGACGGCAGCCACACCATCCATCTACAACGCACTTGGGCCTGCGTCTACGCCTACGCCCACAACCACGCCGCAACTCCAAAGTACCTGTCCCGGGACTCTTGTCCTGATCTGGAAACGCGTTCAGCAATTGAATTCGCAATCTGCTCAGAGACGTAGACAAACCTAGCCAGCCAGCTCAACCGACCGCAAGTCAACGTCGAATGTCCAGGCTCTCTTCCTATTCGACTGCAAATACATTGTTTAGCTTTGGTCAAGATTTTGCAGCTTCGCCCCCATGTATATGGATAGCCGATTTGGCTCTACTATATAACAAGAGGCACCGCCTTTGATCGCAGGCAAACTTTCCCTGGCGACGTGGAGGCTGCCGGCAGCAGATTCCTTGAGGATAGAAGTCCTTATGCAAATCATATTACCAGGAATATTATCCTCTGCTACTCTCATCCATCAATAAGCATGCATGAGCGGACCGTTTTCCGCCTTACATGAGAAGCACGAGGAGTTCCTCCCGCAGCTGCGAGGAAGGGCCAGGTCAGACGGCGTAGCGTTAGATGAGGTCTGACAGTACCCGTACCGTTCCAATGGGTAGTTCCACGTCGCCGACGATGCTGGTCCAATGGGAACATGGCCGGGGCTGAGGGCTGGAACATACGGTCTGCGCGACATGACATGGGATTGATGCCAGCGATGGTCAGCGATGGTGCCTTTTCAACGACCTGAACGGGCAAATGCTCTCCGCTGTCTGACTGGACCGGAACGCACTGAGTCGAATTGACATTGTCTTTGCCCGTGCAGCTCTTGTCGTAGAGATGGCATTTTGTAATCAAACACGAGCATCGCACGAGAGTCCAGGCAATAGCAGTTATGACAGCAACCCTCACTTCAGTACAGAGATCCAAAATCAGACTCGGATTACCATGCCAGCACCGGCAAGCACAAACTGGCGCAAGCACAAGTCATGTCTCTACAACTTGAATCAAGACCAAGTGCCGATTGACTCTCATCCCGCTCTCTGCGACTGTTATATCCCCGATACTATGCGTGCCCATCCAGCCAACGTTCAATCACCGAGACAAGTCTGTGTTCGTAACAGGCGACGGACTGTGAGTGTCGGTTGGAGGTACAAGTTGACGTCTTCTCTCGACACTGTGGCGTTGAGGCGGCTCGGTCGAGGTTGGCGGAGGTGACAATGGCTTCACTGATTGGGTTTAGCATCCTCTTCACCGCTACTCTTGTGGCCTCTTTACGGCGACGCCCTCTCCCCGCTCCCCGTCCACGCTTGCTCTGGGGCCTCTGGCTGCTTTTCTTGCCAGGATCTGGGGCATGGTGATAGAGGCACACTCAGCCGGGGGGAGAAGAGGGAGAGTGACTGAGTCTCTCTCCGAGAGTGAGAGAGAGAGAGAGTAACCAGGAAGAAAAGAGGAGAGAGACCCAGGCCTGGACCCCCCGGCCCACTAACCTATCATCGCTTGCCTCTCCGCTGCGGTCGAGCCAATAGCCCTATACCCGAAAGAGCTGGCTTGCTGACCCCCCACTGGAGCCACGCTGCGCTGGCAGGGCTACCTTGCCCAGTGTCTTTCCCGCCGCCTGCTGGACGTTGAGGTTTTATGCGCATACCGGTGGTTTTTCACGTGGAGGCAAGTGGCACGATGCAATGGCGAAGAAGACGAAGGAGGAGGAGGAGGGGGAGTGTGCTTGTACCTGTACATGCGCCCAAGATGGCCCACGGCTGTTCCCCTCACTCTGGGCTGCTGGCTGCTCTTGAGTCTTGTTTCCATCTCCACCCCCCTCCTCCTTCTCCTCCTCCCCAGTCTTTTGAGTCTTGAGTCTCCAGTGCGTTTTTCTCTCTGCTCACTTTTGCTTAGGTACTCTTCACCCCTACACTACCTACACGACTTCGTACCTCCATCGCCAGTCAGTCTTCCGATGGGGCCCTCGTTCGTCAGTTTGAACAATTCAAGCCCTCCTCGCAAAAACATCCTGGCAAATCGCGCATCCGCACACCCATGACGAGATCCCGACTGCGCTTCTCGCCGTCTCTCGACGATGGGTGGGACTAATGGCCAACACCAACACCAACACCAACACCACGAGACGTGGGGCGAGCGGACGACAGCGGATTCGATTCCAGCCACGGTCTTTTCTCTCTGGCGTTCGATCTCTTGTCACGACACGACTGGATATCATTTTTCGTCTCGTCTCGTGTCTTCTTCCGCCCCTTGTTGCGTTACATAGAGTTACCTCCATCGGATCATAGGCCCATCGGTCATCAGTCACTCAGCTCAGCTCAGTCGTCGTGCTGCTGTTATTTTCTGACGAAAGCCGCCATTGCCTGCTCCTTTCACCATCCAGGCTCGGCTTGGAGAATGAGAAATTTGAGACATTTTGACGAAGGAACATCCACATACGGCGAACAGCCCGCTGTTTATGAAGAGCCCCGCATTCTTAACATCTGGACCGTTGAACTTGTCTCGATGATGCTTGGTATGTTGATACCGTTGAAACTTGAGAGGAGGCTCTTTTGACGAGTCCGAGATGGGCCATCAACACTGCGTCTAACTGATGCGAGCCTTGCTTGATGTCGCCCACCCGCAGCGGAGTCCGGTAAGACCACGCGTCTGACCCTGTCCATGATATGCTGGGTAGTTGTGCACCTGGAAAGCATGGGCGGACAGGTATGTACACCACCAGCATCCCCCCCCCCCCCCCCTCAAAAAGATCCACGATCCGACGACAGAGGTTGAGCACGGCTGTTGTAGGCTGTAGCCTGTCCGTCTGTACTCTCACGATCGGCTATGGCTGGACTTGACGGGACCTTTCCTGGCCCAGGATCATGTCCCGGGTGCTTTTGGCCCCTCCCTCCATCAGACATAGAGGAGCAGCAGTGCCTCACCCCGCCGCCCGCCTTCCGTCCTGTGCATATGTCGGGATAGCTGCGCGCTTCCCGTAGCCTCGCATCTGTGTCGTGGGAGGATCTGATGGGAAATCGACATGTCTTACATTAGTGTCCACGACAGCAGCAGCAGCTCGCGGGAGCCCTGCCCTAGCCTGACCTGCGCTGCTGCGTTGTGCAAAGAGCTGAGCTGGGCGCGTTCATGATACAGTTTGCTTGTTTGCTTGGCACCCATCGTTTGTCCTCCCGTCTTCATATTTTGGCGCACCGGGGAACGGAGGCATTTCCAACGACGGCTCCTGTACGGAGAAAACAGCGTGCATCAGGTTATGTGTGCAACGGTCGTACAAACCTACTAGTTGAAGAGGCAAAGACTACATCTACATCATTCCACCAGCACACTTGAGACAGGCCGAAGCCGGTATCTGCATCGACACACATCCAGATCTACACTGTAGGTGTCTAGATGAAGGACGGCGGCCCATCTTGGATGCTGTCGGGAATATCTCCCTCTCACCCGCGACCCGCGACCCCCGGGACACGCATACACATACAGATACACATATCCGTCCATACTACTCTGTACACACACTTCTTCGCATCTCCTTCCGATCTCTCCTCCCGGTCAAGCCCAAACCCACTCGATCAAGCAAGCGGCCGGCGCCGCCGCAGCAGCAGCAGCAGCAGCCGATTGCTCCTCGTCGCGGGTGGATTGACGGCGATAAAAGTCCGGGCTCTGTGCGGTCGCCAAAACTGGCCGCCAGGTGCGCACATCCTTTCCTTGAACTTCCTCAACCTTGCCATTGCTTGTACCCCCAATAGGTTGGCGTGAGATTTTTCTCTCGTTCGGCCGCTAATACTCTGTACATACTGGATACACAGACAAAAAGTGACGAAGGAGGAGGAGAAGGGAGCGGGCGGCGATGGGCGGAAGACCTCGCCTGTCAAGCCCGCGTTACATTCGCAACCCCCCCCCCCCCCCATTTCCACTTTATTTCTGCTCCCCCTCCCTTTTTTCTCACGCCCTCGCTCAAATTTCCTGCCCCCAACATCTGGGAAATCTTGCCCGTTTGCCTGCCTTGCCTGCCTGGCTTACCTAGCACCTTGGTGTCATACCATGTGCGGCTAGAAGAGAGGGCTGGGGACTGGGGGGGAGGAGTGGTTGTGGATGGGACCCGCGTCCCCCCCCCCCCCCCTTGCGCGCGTGCGTGGGAGCAGCAGCGCCAGCGTCCGTGGGCAAAGATGCGCCGTCGCCGCCGCCGCGTCTCGGGTGGTAACATGTCAGATTTACAAGCGCTAGGTATCCCGTAGCTTGTTGCTTGCAAGAGGAAGTACACTCTACACTACATGGCGGGTGGGGGAAGGGAGGGGGTGAAGAGAGGAAAACGGGAACAAGAAGGAAAGAAACAGAAAAATCACAAGAGATTACCGTACGTGCAGGGAGATGCCGCAGTATGACAGAATAGCGCGTCTGCAATCCTCGTCGGAGCGGAGAGAGTATGTAAACTAGGAAAAAAGTTCTGGAGTTCTCCCGTCTTGGGGCCTCTGGGGGCTAGTCTACGGATAGTCTAGTTTCTAGACAAGAGCTGAACTTCTGAAGAGGCTGTAAAAACAAGCACAGAGATGTCCAAAAGTTGAAGGCGGCGTTGTCACTTGTTTGATGAAGCCTTTTTTGCCACCACCATCACCTACCTACCTTGGTCCTTGCGATACGAACGATGCAACCGTATTCTCGACTATCCATCGACTCCTCCAGGCTCCTGCTAGGAAGAAAGGTCTCAGAGTCGTTGAGCAAGCAGGTGGCCGGAAGGAAGAAACATGGGCATTGCATACGGGAAAAGAAAGGAGAAAGGGCAACGTACTGTGTAGACGCGCCCCCCGGATTTAGACTGATCACAACAGCGGCGGCAGCAAAAGTTTCGTGTGTGGCATACGGATACTGGCACGACTGGCGAGAAAGACTGGGTGGTGGTTTCCAGCCCATCTGCCCTCCGGATGCAAGTATGCTTCGCATAATGTGTGTACCGTCGCCTGCTGTTGGCTCCGTTGGTGACAATCCAGCAGCAGCAGCAGCATGTATCTATCTGTAAGGCAAGGCAATGCAACGGCCCTTGCCTTGGAATACCACGTACGGAGACAGTGACAGACAGCGAGGAAGACAGACAGAGGACGACGTTACGAAATGTCTCTGTTTTTTTTTTCTGCCCTTTCTTCCACATGTCCAAGTCTCTCTCTCTCTTGTCTCGTCTTCAACGTCGTCCCGTCCATTGTTGAGGAACAATCCCCTTGTTGCATAACTTTTTCGGCTTTGTTCCTCTCGAACTTCTTGTTCTTCCCTCCCTTTCCTCCGTGCCGCCCCCCCCCCCTCCCCCGGCCCTTTCTCCCTGCCCTTTGCCCGCCTCTGGTTTCCTTGTCCACAAAGATTGACTTTGTTCCAACAGAGATTTTTCTGCCCGTCGGGGACCACATGGAACGGCTATACTCTACCGTTTTGGGTCATTCGATCGGCTCGCCGCTCTCGAGAAAGAAAGGAAAAAAACTAAAAAACTAAACTACTTGTTAAAAACACAATGATAACCTCGGCGTAGTTAGACTTCTGACAGCCGCCCTCCTTCCCTTGTTTGCGTTGTGTGCCGCGCACGTCTTTTTGGGAGTGAGAGAGACGGGAGGGTCCCCCCGGTACCCGAGTACGTATCCGTAGACCGTAGAGAAGCGGTAGACGGGCGCCAGTCCAAGACCAAGCAAGCCTCTTCCCAGCCATCCATCCACTCTGGCACCTCACTCTCCGCCATCAGTGCGTCTTTTTTGTGCCTCTCTCTCTCTCTCTCTCTCTCTCTCTCCGTGTGTGTCGCCGTCTATCTCTTTGCCGGGACGGGAGGGTGTGAGGTATAATGTTCTGGCGCGCGCCGTCCTTCCCTCTCCCCTACCACTCAACCTCTCTCTATCTTGATTTAGCTCCCGAGACGAGACACACAACCTTTCTGTCTGGGACACGACCGGTGTGAGCCAGGAAGGTGGCAGAATCATACAATAACAATGACAGCACCAAATCCAATTATTGGTGATGTCGGGATCGGTTCTAGCCGGCCTCTTTTTTTTTTCTTCGAGGATACCCACTTTCTCGTCGAGATTCGGGAAGAGGAGAGAGGAGACAATCCTTCCCCCGCTCGCTCGTCGCGTCCGCTTGTCACGACCCGGGTCGGCCGCGCGAGGCGAAGCGAAGGCGGATAGGATTTGCCAGGTAGATGTAAACAGACCAGTCTCGACTTGGCCAGGCCAGGAAGGTAGGTAGGTCTTCCGAAGGTCTTGATTTGCAGGGCAAGCAAGGCAAGGCAAGGTAGAGCAAGCAAAACACCACAGCAGGCTCTCCCTCACCCTCACCCTCCCCCCTCCCACCCCCGGAAAGCGAAAGGGTACGATTGCCTGCATGCGCGTACGGGTATGCATGCTGCTCAGACATGGGGTGGCGGCGGCGAGATCACGGATCACAGAGGAGCCCTGGAAACTCTCGCTCGCTCTTCCAAGCGGCCTGGAAGTGCACTACGGACGACGGATTCTGTATCCGTACGGAGTGTTGCGAACCTCGTCCTCGCTCACGGAGGATGCCCCCTCAGGAAACAGAGCAGGTGTCGTGAAATGGCTCTTGCGCACCTGGGCCGCAGCAAGCAGGCGCATGCTGGGCAGATCATGTAACTGTCAGGGACGGGGTCAAGCGAGCGTGACGTGGACCTTTGACCTTTTTGCGCGCTCGAGCTGATGTCCTCTGTGCCTCTTTCTCTCGCCAGACTTCGTGTCTCCTTGCCGTCCACTTGTGAGTGGCGCTGTCATGTTGGACCTTGGACACCAGATGAATCGTCAAGTCGGGATAGAACTTGAACGCTTGAAACGGTTCGCCCCCTCCTTCACGACCCCTGTGCTCGTCCCTGACGTCCCTGATTGATATCACATGAGAGACGGGCTGGAAAAGAGAGCTTGGGGCTCGGCGGTGCGAGATTGACTTTTTTTATTACCTCGCTACGCAGACTGTCTTGCTTCCTCGTGGGTACCCCGGCACCAGTGGCCTCCCTGCAATGGTTGGTATGACCAGGCTGTCTCGTCTCGTTGTGTCGTGACTTGTCTTGTCTTGCCTTTATTCCGACATGACGAGGTCGACCGTTGAAGTAGTCGGTTGCCCGAGGTATGATTACGTATTAGAAAGAGAGCGGTGCATCATCGCGCAGCGAAGCGTTGAAGAATGCAGCACGTATAGCGTGCGCAGAATATGCAAGCCTCGGCATCCGTCTTTGCGACTCCAGCTTTCTTTTCCCGGGGGACATTTGCGACTTGTCGTCGTCGTCTTGTCATTTCTGAGAGTTTTCACTAAATGGCATGTTGGTGGTTTGATGCAGGAGAGACGGCAGGCCAGGCCAGGCCGCCATGGCAGGGCCCGGCGCATCGCATCGATGCTCCCTCACCTCGCTCCAGCCCTGTCCCGCCCGCCCAAAGCTAGCCGCGAAACACGGCGGCGGGAAGAGAGGAGGCTCGGAAAGTAGGTTGTGAGGTAAGGTAGCGGTATCCGCAGTGCTGTGCGCAGCGGTGCAGCGGGCATCGTGCATGAACTGCTGGTACGGCATGATAAGATGGGTGTGTTATACATGTGACGGAGCACCGCCTGGCTTCTCCTTTCTTCGCCTTTCCAAGGGTTGACCTGGACAACATCGGGAGAGGGCGAGGAGAGAGAAGGTTAGCGGGCCTGGAAGCTGCATTCTCTTGGTGTCGATTGGCAAATGCAGGCGCATGTGCGTGCAGTGGCCTCATGGGAGAGGCATATATGGCAGACATGGGAGTCCCCGAAGCTGGAGAGTGTGCCATGCCAGGTCCGGGGCGCATGAGACGGCCCTTTCGTTTGGTGTTTCCCGCCTCCCGCCGCGCGGCAGGTTTGGCGATGCAAGTCAATTCGAGACCCGAAGCTAGGTGCACCTTTCTTCGAGGGAGCTTGGATAACAAGCTTTTCTCTCTCGCCTTCTCGTTTCTTGTCACCTCTCTGGCTCCTCCGCCGGATGTGGGAGTATGGGGGGAGCTACGGCGCGAATATGAAGCAGCCAACATCGGCTGTGCAAGCTTTCTCTCCCTTTTAAGGTGCAACCTTCGACCGATGACTGGGCGTGATGTGCATGACTGGCGTCTGTGGGGGAATGCGATGCCACTGCGATCAATGTCCTAGGCCGATTGGATGGCTTTAATTTTCGCCGCACCAAGGGCCCCCGGTGATATCGTTTGGCGATCCAAAGGGTCGAAGTCTGATGTCGTCTTCTTTGGGCGTATGTACCCAATACGTCTGTGGAATCTTCAATATCATTTCCACAATAAGATAGAAATAGCCTTCTGTTGAACCGGATATTGAAGGGGGTGTGAAGTGAGCGGCATCCGAGTCAGAGACTTCGTCGACGAGTAGATAACGGCGACATCATATTCGTAGTTGTACGCAAGGACAAAAAGGTCCAAAACTGATTTTCGCACTCGCATCTGCCGAGCCCAGACTCCAATATGGTCCCCTGACTGAGCGTTCCGAAAGCCGTCAGACAGAGGCGCCGAGGAGTGATTGGGCCTCTGCAGCCCATCATTCCAACATGGTGCAAGGTATGACCTTCTTCACAGCCTCCTTTCCACTCAGACCGTCCCGATTTCAGCTCCGTGGGCTCGTGGGTAACCTCGTGGGCGAAGGAAACATGTCGCTTGTTTTGGGGGAGGGTGAAGAGCAAAGAGGGTGTGTCCAGGTGTGTCTGATCCGGTGTTTAGGCCTGATGTCGGTACCTGCAGGAGATGGAGAGGTTGAAGGTGAGGTGAAAGGTCCCCTGAGGTTCGAAGCGTTCGGTCTTTCTTGCAACAAGAAGGTTCCAAGGGGACTCTGACGTGCACATGCATTCTTCCTGGGATTTGAGGAATGACGGGATTCAAGCTGGGGAAACATCGGTGCGCCGACGCTGCTGCAGCTCCTGCATTTGCCAGTATGGCAGGCGGAGCAGCTGGCATTGACATCTCTCGGTCCAGGAACGGCACCTGAGTTAGCTTCGCCTTACTCGGGAAGCTTTGACTGCATGTCTCTGTCTCTACACCTTCCCGTCATGTAGCTTCGATGAGATGTGATTTGAGTTTAGGTGTAAGTGAGAGATGACTAACATGGAAACCCCAGAGGTGACCAAGGTGGGTGTCGGTGGCTCTCGGTGAGACAAAGATCATGTGACCCCGCGACCGGTACGTGCCTGGATCGACCTTGGATGTAAATGCGCTTGGGACTCTCTAGCCTGCGGCGCCGCGTGATTCGCGTATCGTTGACGACAGAAAATAACCCCTTTGTTTGCTTACGGAGACACTAGAGGCAAAATCCAGCATTATGACCCTACGTTTCTGTTGTGTGGACCTGAACGACATTGCATGCTCAACGCGCATGTGCCTCGCATTGCAGCGCCGTTTGGCACATCTATCATGCTAGCAAAGCAAAAAGGGCAGAAGAGAAAAGAAAAAGAAACATTGTTGCTCCCAAATAATCACGTGTGTCAGAACCGAAATGCCTTCGCCGGAGAAGACACCTATCCCACCAGCCGCAAAGCCGCGGTTCGGCAACAACTTCGATCCGTACAACTCAAGCGCCACCGGACATCAACGCCCGGATCACGTCCCGGGCACAGGATGGCGAACCAGCCGCGCCCGCAAGCTCTCGGAGCAGTTTGCGGGCGGTCACACTGGCGGTGCCCGCATGAGTGACACGTACGGCGCTGGCAGCGAGGACTTTGACGAGAAGCTGAAGATGGTGGTGCCCAAGGATGTCAAGGCGAGAGCAAAAATGAGCGTGGCGGACATGCTGGCGCGGCCGGGGCTGATGAGGAGCGGCTCTTCAGTCTCTGAGACCGGCTCCGCGACATCTAGCACGTCTGCTACAGCACCGGGTGGGTTGGTAAGGATGAGCGAAGAGGAGGTCATGGAAGCTCGGCGGAAGGAGGACGAGGATGCTGAGGCGACGAGGGCGGCTGGTAGGGGATTGTTCGAGGGCGTCACGGTGTACGTCAACGGGAGCACGCATCCCATCATCTCGGATCACAAACTCAAGCGCGTCTTGGTCGAGAACGGTGCGCGCATGTCCATACATCTCGGACGGAGGCAGGTTACGCATGTTATTGTCGGGAGACCGGCGGGCGGAGGTGCTGGAGCCGGCGGAGGACTCGCGAGCGGCAAACTTGAAAAGGAAATTCGCAGGATCGGCGGGTCTGCCGTCAAATATATTGGCGTTGAATGGTTCGTTCTTTCTTTGTCTCCCTATCTCATCTACTTGTATGAATTGGCGGACGCTAATCCTTGCGCAGGGTAATGGAGAGTCTCAAGGCGGGAAGTCGATTGCCCGAAGCACGCTTCGCTCCTCTGAAAGTTGCGAGAGAGGGCCAACGAAGTCTTTATGGAACGTACGGGAAGCAGGCCTCCAAGGAGTCCCCCGCTGGATCGGCAAGTTGATGTGGTTAGTTCTTGGATCATTATCGACGTCGGCGAACGTGAACGGTTTTCAACTATTGCATTGATGGGTCACTGGAGGCACAACGATATCAGGAATACATTGGGGGGCATGCTGTGATTCGGCATACGAGGCGTTGGTTGGAACTACTCTAGTTTGCTATTCCATTTGGAACTTCATAACCACCATTACCGTTTCGCTCGTAAATATCCGATCCATGCCTGTCACGTCCTGTCCTCGAACTTCCGTAGATGATGCCCCCCGTCTCTCATTTCACCGGAACCTAAATCATATTTCCCGATGAACCTATCCCTGGACGGAGATGAGAAACAGCCGCTCAGCTTCGAACACGGTCACACGTTCGACGGCCCGTGAGCAAACATGGTACGACGGCCGTGACTCGGTACGGGTATCAGGTTTTCCTTCGAGCCTCGTCTTCCCGCCATGGGATCGTATACATTTGAACGTCAATGGTCCTGGAGGGACGACCTTACGCTCTCTTTTCGTCACACAAGCTGACCATGGCGAGGCCTAGGGCGGAAGGGTGTGACCGAGGAGATCGTGAATACGGGATGGAGGGCTCTCGATTTTCGTCATACCACCCATCCTGCGGGCGCGTGTCGCTTTGCAACGACGGCTTCATGTCGCACGATGGGTGTCGTCGTCGGTGGCAATTGCTTCAGGGGAGAGATTGCGGTCGGCCTAGGCTTTCTTGGCTCAGTGTCCTTAGTTCAGTTGGGCGAGTCCAGACCATGGGAGCTCAGCGTCCGATGGTCGGGGTTGAATGTTCCGATATAGTTACCTAGCAGCTACCAAGGAAATCTAGACGAATATGTTAACACTGTTGAGCTTGATATAGCTGGCTACGAGGCCTACGTCTACGGCGGATTCCGACTATGACGAGAAAATGACGGAATTTTCAAAGGATCGGCCAGCAGCGTACCGCAGTCTTTCATGACAACCCCTCATATCTCCTCAGCCCGGTACCCTGTACATAGATTCAGACTAAAGACCGGTGAACGGGTTTCTGAAAACTGTTCAGAGAGATCAAATCCTTGTCGAGAAGATCAAGTCTCTTGAGCCATCGAGATCGAGTAGACTGAGTTCCTCTTCAATTAGCACAGTATCTACATCATATGTTTTTCTGGTAAGCTGGACAGCTTTTATTTTATTTTTATTTTTTACTTTTTCTTCTAAAGAAGCCAGTGGACGATAGTAGTCTATATTTGTTTTTTTTTATTTCTACCTTTGCTGGCTGCTCGGGCGATTCTCGATATCGGTTACACAGTATTAACACACAGTATCAGTGGATACTCCCACTGTCTCGTTAGACTATTTTTTTTAGATTTTCCACCTTTTTGAACTTTCCCTCCTGCAAAGTTTACAATCACGGTAGTCTATATTATTCGTGACTAAGACGTTCTACGGTCATTGACGGGTTTGATTCGTGACGGAAACAGATCCAGCGTGGTGCGTTGACATCCCTTCCCACTAACTTCAATACATATCGACCGACGTTGGATACTAAGTGATAAGGCGGTCATATTTTTATTCCTCAATATCTCAGAATCAAAGTATCATATCCGCTTTTTGATTCTCAGGCTTATTACTGGAGCTCATGATATCACTCGTAACGTTCGTGGCTGTACTATCTTATCTTGGTTAGTAGAATGTCTTGATGTGTGATCTTCAACACCAAAACACAGTTACGAACCGGTGATGAAACGATTGGCACAGGCTTCTCTGTCGTGCGTAGCAAAATGTGATATCTACAACTTCGCTATAGCCTCCGTACTCTTATGTCCATCCCCCCTCACCTCCCAATACTCCCTCACCTTCTCCCTCGCAACATCCACCGCGCCAGCATCCTCGACCGTACTCGGCACCTGGACCTCCTTCTCAAACTCCTCGTGCACCGCGTTCTCCAACAGCTCCCTCAGGACGCGGCGCAGCGTCTTACCGCTGCGCGTCTTGGGAATCATTCCCTTGCCCTGGATGAGCCCGCCCAGCGTGGCGATGGCGCCGACCTGCGACCGCACGAGCGCGTTGATCTCGTCGGCGAGCTTCGCGTCGGGCACCGCCGAGGTCGGGTGCTCGGGCGTCGAGAGCGTGATGAAGGCGAAGGGGAGC